ATAAATTGAGGTAGGGTACAATTGTCAGTAAACAGTTAAATAAATTATTATGTAGCAATAATTTTTATTTGTTAATTATACCTCAAAGCTGGAAAAACTGGTGGTGGTAGAGGAAAGTGCTTATGTTATACACTGTGAAGAAGAGAATACAAAACTCTGGTCACATTATGGTTACAACTGTATAAATTTAATGTATGCAAATGAACAAGCATTAGAAAAGCACTTTAAAAAAGAAATCTGTTCAAGTATTAGGATGATGGGACTGTAGATGCATTTTCTCCCATTTTGGATTTTTAATTTTGCTGTTGCATTATTCCTACAAAAAAGCCAAACAGGAAAAGTTCCCATCTCCAGGCCATCCCATCTGGCAGATGTCCCAAGGCAGGAATGGCCTGAACTCTTCTACTGAGGACAACCTCCTCCTGCTCCAGGCTTGGTTCTCGGGCTTTGAGAACCTCAGGGCAGGACACCTTTTTCCACCTCAGCGAGGAAAATGAATAGATAACAGTTGTGCCCTTGTTTTGAGTGACAGGAGCAGATGGGACCCACACTAGTGCGCTGGCCTGGGAAAGGTCCAGGGCTGGCTTGGCCTGGGCAGCAAGGCTGGGGAAGGTGGCGTGGCTGGGAGGAGACCCCAGGGCTGCAGCCATGCCCTGAGTTACCCTCTGCACCCCTTTCCTGGCCTCAGGAACTCTCTGTGGGATGCTTAGAAGGCCTGCTGACAGGCTGGATAAGGCCAATGAGAGAGAGGGAATGAAGAAGAGGGACGTCTGGGTTCACAGGCCCTAAGAAAGAATTTAGTTACTTAGATTAAACGTGTGTCACGCATGCAGGTCTGGGAAATGCATTATTAAAAATACACAGTCCCAGAAGAACATGCGCAGTGAACTCCAGGGTGCAGAGGGGCAGCACCAGGATACGGGTGGATTTGGGGCCCTAGAATGGCTTTGGTTGTGTGTGGTACAAGGGAGAATGTATACATGGATTATATATGTAGTTTTTAAAAATACACATATAGAGGAAAAGATGAGACAGGTCTGATGAGATGTCAACAGCAACAATTCTTAGTTATGGGTGCTGTGGGAAGAGAGCCCTTAACTGGGCATGGTGGCGCTGGCCTGTAATTTCAGCACTTTAGCGGGCTGAGGCAGGATCACTTAAGCCCAGGAGTCCAAGATCAGCTTGGGCAGCATAGCGAGACCCTCATCTCAATAGATGGATTCCATGGATGGACAGATACAGATGTTTAGATAGCTAGACAGCCTTGATTGTTTGATGAATGGATAGGTTGGATAGGTAGAGACGAATGGATAGGTTGGATAGGTAGAGACAAATGGATAGAGATAGATTAGATGGCTGAATGGATGGATGGAAATAGATTAGATAGAGATAGATGGATCAATCCATTGATTAGATAGGTAAGATAGTCCTCGCGTTCAGGGAAGCCGCAGCGAGTGCCACCTAGCGCAGCAGCCTCTGCCCAGACACTCAGTGCCGCAGACCAGGAGGGACGCCGGGGCCTCTAGGGGCCGAGGGCTGGGGTGAGGGAGAGAGGGAGCGGCCCAGAGGAGCAGCGGGCACGCCTCGGACTGGGTGGCGGGGCCGCCTGTTGGCGTGGGTGCGGCGAGGGGAGCGGGCCCTGGGTCAGCTGAGGACCGGGCCTCGGGGGCGCCGCCGGTATGGACTGGGGCTGTTGGCCGGATTTGCTCGTTTTTTGGGAAATAAGGCCACTGGGGACAGCCACTACCGTTTTCAGGATCCTCTCAGCCCCGCCGAGTGCCCAGCAGGTGGACCCGGCGGCGCTCCTGGCTGTGGCTGACTGGGCTCCGGCGTGAGGAGCGCCCCTGCGGGCTGGGCGGGCGGAGCCTGGGGAGGAGGAGCCTGGGCCCCAGGCGGTGGGAGCGCCTCCGCCCCCTTCCGGCTGTGGCCCCGCAGGCGCCCGACACCTGCCCTCGCCGGTGCCCCCTAGGCCGGGCCCATCCCTCAGGTTACAGGCGGTCCCTGAGCCCATGCTTCGTTTCCGCACAGTTGGACCGCCGTGTTTTTTTTTGCCACGGATTCCAGGATGTCCCCGAGTATCTCAGGAACGGGCTGTGTTGGACAAACGCGAGGTGCGGTGTTTCTGTCGCGCCGCCCCTCGCTACTGGCGCTGGGGCCCTCGGAGGCTCAGTGATTGCCCAGCCCGCCCGTTTCCAAGAGTACCCCAAACGCGAGCTCCTCCCCACTGAGTTCCCGTTCTCCCAAGACGGCCGACAGCCAGCCCCGCGGACCCTGCAGGCAGCCACACTCCGGGCTGAAAAAGGTACCGCGGGTACCTTTTTTTTCCAGCACGCCTGCGGCCTTGGAAAGAACCTTTCTTGAGGCCTGTGGCTGGCCTGTCGCCTTGTCAATCTGGCCAGACGTTTTTGAAAAAAGATAGTAAGCCCCCAGATGTGAAGTTGCAGCTGCCCTGTGAATAAGCGGACTGGAGGTGACACTCGCTGTAGGGCGCGGAAGGGCACTCGGGCTTGGGAAGGGGCGTCCACCTGCGAGCGCAGCCGTGCGCCTTTGCGGGAGGCTGCAGGGCGCCGGCGGGAGGCCGCTTCCGTCAGGGCTTCCTCAACCTAGCCTGCCCGCGTCCAGTGGCCACTGAATGCGTTTGGACCATCATCTTGAATGTATTTCAAGCACACAAGTGTAGAGAGTGAGCCATGTCCCACTAACTCATCTGGCCAGGAGGTCAACTTTTCCATGTTTCTTTTTGTTCACAGCCCTCCATGTAGACATGAGGTCTGAAAAGGGACCGGCTCTTTCTTGTTCCAAGTTTTGAGCAGATCCCCGTTTCCAGAAGTTGTGGTTCATGTTTTTAGATGCTGCAGGGCTAATGATTTTCCTCTGTTTCTTGTTCCCCACTCTCCTCCCCTTCCCCTCCGCCAGGAAGGGTGCCTGTGGCCTTCAGACAGCCCTGTACCTCGGCCGGGCGCCTCGGAGGTAAGGGGCCCCAGGAGGTGCGGGCTGGGGTGGGGAGTGAGGGGGCATGTCCCTGGCAAGTGGGGTGGAAGGGGCAGGGGCATTACCACGTGGGCTGATACTTTTGGCATTGCCTGAAACTTTGGTCAAAAACAGGAGGGGATTTTTCCTAGAATCTTCCAAGGATTATTCGTTCTAGTCCAAAGCTCCTTACCAAAAACAATTTGTGAATCACTGATCTTTACATGATTCCATAAGCTTCTACTAATGTGCCTTGGCAAGTGTGGGCATAGTTTATAAATATCATAGTGTGATTCATTCCCACATCTCCAAGTGTAATAATGTAGATTTTAAAATAACATTTTTTTTGCCTTCAAGTTAAAAATAATGATGTGCGAGAAATCAATATCTCTATGTATGTGTGTAGATATGTGTGTACATTAAATTCATGTATATACACATATGGACACACATATACATCTATGCATATATGCATGTGTGTATATATATGTATATAAAAGAGCTGTCTCCTAGAAGAAACTGGGATGGAACAAATGAGAAGATATTGTAAGAAATGTACTACCTGGGTTAATTTTGGAAAAAGAAATTACTATAATCATATCTACTTGAGTACAAAACGTTTTTCATGTCAGTGACTAAAAATAACTACAGGAAACCTTTATTCAGATTACAAATAACTGGAAAAGTCTAGGAGCCAGAAAGAAAAAACAGTCATTGGCTGGGCATGGTGGCTCTTGTCTGTAATCATAGCACTTTGAAAGGCCGAGGCAGGTGAATGGATCACGAGGTCAGAAGTTCAAGACCAGCCTGGCCAAGATGGTGAATGCAAAAATGCAAAATTTAAAAATGCAAAAATTAGCTGGACACAGTGGCAGGCGCCTGTAATCCCAGATACTTAGGAGACTGAGGCAGGGAAATCACGTGAACCCGGTGAGGGGAGGGGACGAAGATTGTAGTGAGCTGAGATGGCACCATTGCACTCCAGCCTGGGCAACAGAGTAAGACTCTGTCTCAAAAAAAAGATATTTTTTTAATAAAAATTAAAAAAAAAGAAAAGCAGTCATTTTGGGGGGATTTGTTTAAAAAAGTAATTGGTAGGGCAATAATCTCTAAGTAATGAATAAATCGACCCAATGCTTTGTATCTGCTCCGCATATCATGGTGTGAAGTTCTAACTTCCACTTACTTGGAGTCCTGGCCAATGGTAGCTCATGCCTGTAATCCCAGCACTTTAGGAAGCTGAGGTGAGTCAGTCACTTAAGCTCAGGAGTTTGAGACAAGCCTGGGAAACATGACAAAACCCCATCTCTCTTAAAAAAAAAAAAAAAATTAGTCAGTCATGGTGGCATGCACCGGTTGTCCCAGCTACTCAGGATGCTGAGGTGGGAGAATGGCTTGATTCCAAAAGGTTGAGGCTGCCGTAAGCCAAGATGGCAACACTGCACTCCGACCAAGGTGACAGAGCCAGACCCTGTCTCAAAAAAAAAAAAAAATTAAGCTTAAAAAAATAAATAAAAACTCAGAGCCCCTTGTTACTTTTCTGAGTCATAGGTTCTAGGTTCTAGAGCTGGCAGGGACCTGAGAAAGCAGGCAGCCCTGTCCTGTCCTCATAAGTTGTAGAAAACCCAAGGCCTGGGAGGGGTCGCTGATGACCGGATCCGAGGCCTGGCCGCAGTGCTTTTCACCCTGTGACTTTTGGAGTTCCTAGTGTGTTCTGTTTGAACCCTTGGAAAATGCACACGTAGCATGCACAGTAACTCCCAGGAGCCCAAGCTTTCAATTACCCACAGCTCTCCATTGCTCAGCCCTCCTGGATGCGCTGGGATTTTTGGCAAGGTGAGTGGTCTGTCATAAGGAACATAAGGAATCGGAAAAGTAAGCTTTTTTCTGGAATTGGAATTTCCTGCTTTCTCTGGGAGATGGTGTTCAAAGTGGTAGGAACACAGACCAAGCGTGACTGTCCTTGATTCTGTTACATTCACGGTCATCATTGCGCCCAAACCGTCTTCAAGCCTCTCTTTTCCTTCCAGATCATGCATGCCCCGCGGTCCAGGGACAGGTTCACAGCTCCGTCCTTCATCCAGAGGGATCGCTTCAGCCGCTTCCAGCCCACCTACCCCTATGTGCAGCACGAGATTGATCTTCCTCCCACTATCTCCTTGTCCGATGGTGAAGAGCCACCTCCTTACCAGGGGCCCTGCACCCTGCAGCTCCGGGACCCTGAACAGCAGATGGAACTCAACCGAGAGTCCGTGAGGGCCCCACCCAACCGAACCATATTTGACAGTGATTTGATAGACATTGCTATGTATAGTGGGGGCCCGTGCCCACCGAGCAGCAACTCGGGCATCAGTGCATCCACCTGCAGCAGCAACGGGAGGATGGAGGGGCCGCCCCCCACATACAGCGAGGTGATGGGCCACCACCCAGGTGCCTCTTTCCTCCATCACCAGCGCAGCAATGCACACAGGGGCAGCAGACTGCAGTTTCAGCAGAACAATGCAGAGAGCACAATAGTACCCATCAAAGGCAAAGATAGGAAGCCTGGGAACCTGGTCTGATTTCCTCCACCTTCACTTCAGCTGGAGAAAGAAACCAAGGAGGAAAGCGGCCGCTGGGCCCCTCCTGCGCACAGTGTTGTTCAGTTTTACGTGGTACAAATAAGTAAAACCAAATGAGCAAACATGGTCTTTGTTTCTGATTCCTTTTAGGGGAATTGCATGCAAACTAGACTGAAATGATACAAACTTCCACCTGGTCTGACTGCAAACAGTGTTTATTTGGGGACAGGGGTTGGGATGGGGGTGTGGGCAGGGGAAAACAGAGAAAGGGATGCTTTGAAGATATCATGAAATAAAACCCACAGAGGTATTTGGTTTATTTAATTCTGAAAGGAGACTGCAGATAAATGAGGCCAGAATGGCCTGCTTTATAATTAACTGAATGAAGAAGGAAGGATTATTATATATTATTGTGGGGAAGAACCAGCCAGTTTGCTTTTTCTCCTAAGGTGTGGAACTTTTATTTTGCTTAGAAAGTATGAATCAAAATTCCTGTTTTGTGTGCCAAGGCATAAAGTGGAAGAGTTGGATGGATGCAAGGAGCTCCTTTGTGTTGTGACGATGTGTGTTCAAAGTTGCACTATCTTAATGTGGAAAATATATACGAGGGAACTGTTTTACGTGAAGTTCTGTATGTTGTCTTTTCACCTGTGGATTGTCATCAGGCCCAAGGAATATCCTGGAGTGGTCCCCAGAATCATCTAAGAACAGATATTTGGGAATGTAGCCTAATATTTTACCAACTTGCATAAATCAAAAAAGTCGTTGTTGCAGGAGTTTGCATCAAATAGCAGTGCATCGCTGAAGCTTTTGGAGACTTTTGGATGGAAGATAGGGAAGATTAAGTCCCAGCATTTCTGACTTGTTATTTGAGTTACTCTGCTAATCTTAGGCTGCATATTTTATGAGAAAATGAACACATGTGTTTATGGATCCAGTATCATGCAGTACTGCCCTCATCCTTCAGCAGTGCAATTTCTTCAGTAATTTAGATATTTTTCACTATAGCATGAACTATATTCAAATATATACCTTATTTTATGCAATAAATTGTTGAAAATGCAAGGTGGTTATTCTGCATACTGTTGAAATATGTGACTCCTCAGTATATCCCCATTGCCTCTCCCCTTTCCTCGACAGCTCAGTTCAGTTCTGCAGGGCTGCTCAGATCACAGGAGGCTCCCAACAGCCACCCCACATCCAGCCTACCCAGAACTTCCTGCAGGAGTGGTGCGGGTGGTGGTTTCTTATGCTTTGGAAGCCCCTAGAAATGACGGAAGAATGCCGTGTTGCTGATCATAATAAGCCATTGTATGTCACTAGTATTAGCATAGCATTCTTAGAGGAATGCAGTGCTCAAAACCTACCCAAACTCCTGCAGGATTCTACCAATCCCTTCTCCAGGCCAGCCTTTGTACTGAAGGCAAGGCCTGGACGGTCAGAGAACAGTGGAAGGGGCAAGTGACGTAAGAGCACAGGGTAAAAAGCACAACATGCAGTTAAAATGCAACTAGAAAACTGATTTTAAATACCATTAGTTTTAATACTCTTGACATTTATAAACATTCATTCTTATGTACAATTAAAAAAATAACTTTCTTCTGCAGACGTAAGCACTGGCTTTTATAAGAGCAGCAGCCAACAAGTTTAGCAGACACTGCGCGTGGAGAAGGGCTTATCTGCAGAATGGTCTGCCATGTGGAGGGTGGGCCTCTGCGGCCTCTGCACATACAAGATGAGCTGGAATGATGATTCCATGACTCCGATCTATGCAGCTTTAAAGCCAAATCCGCGTGTGTGTGTTTGTGTCTGTCTGTGGGTCTCGGAGGTGATCCCTCAGTGTGGTGGCTCTGTGCTATAACTGGAGAGACTGTTCCAAACCCCAAGTCCTGTCTGATCCCGGTCTGTTCCCTATCTCTGTAGGTAGGTCGCTGGTTTTTGTTTGTTTTGAGGATTGGAATTTCCATTACATTCATCCATTCCACACAGTAACATCCACAGAACTAGTCCAACTCTTAAATGCAGAGGGAAAAAGCACGGGCACCAGTTGTCAGCTCATGTCTACAACCCTGTGTGGAAGTATATTCAGTTGAGGGCCACAGTGGAGCTTCCGAGACTGGATTCAGTCGTTCTAGTGACACTTGGAAGTCCTCTGCAGGAGAGAAACCAGCTCTCAGGGCAGAGATTGGTTCGGGGCCAGAGAGGACCTTCCCCAACCCTGGAGATGCCCTGAAGTTTCACTGGCTGCCCCGATTAGCCTCTCTTCCTCTGTCAGGGAAAGATGAGGAGCCCGTTTGCCCGTTGGGCCCTGCGGGCAGGGACTTGCAGTGGATTCTTGGTCAGGTGCAGGAGGTGAGAAGGTGGTTCCATCATTCCAGTTCTTGCCCGCAGTTTTGGTGAAGCAGGGGATGCGCCCCACAGCCCTAGCTCTCAAATGGCTTCACGGTCCTTACTTCTCTACCTGCCTCAAGAAGGAGCTCAGAGCAGAGGCTTGTGAAGTCCTTAGCAACACAAGTATATGAATGTTTTGCATATGTCCACAGTATTGGCAAGATAATTATGTAATTCAGATACCTTTAATCATTTTTCAAGAAAGAGGCTCGTCCCATTCGCCACCCTAGAGAATTGCCTTTGTTAAATAAAGACAAATACATATCAAACCATGACTTTGAAAGGTTTTCAAGGCTGGGACTATGTAGTGAATTAGTTTAAAAGCCAAGGTCAGACATGAATTAATAGTCCATTTCCCTTCAGCACAAGGAAAAGGTGATTTACATGAGTAGCTCTTTTGAAGTTTGTGGTTGACTTGTTCATACCATGTCACCTCATGGCTAGCGTGGTATTGAATGAGTGGAGATTGTGAAGATGCAGCTTACACAGTGGGGCCTATTGTTCTTTCAAGAATTCTTTTTTTAGCTTATGGAACCCATGGGTCCAGTTTAGTAACCAGTGATTTAGGCAATCAATGATAGGTTTATAATCTCAGATTATTCCAGCAAAGTGTAGCAGCAAAGGATTGCATTGTTAGGAAGAACAATTGGTGGGAACGAACACTCCTGGGCATACTGCTGACTTTTAAAAGTCCCTTGTTGCAGGTATAGGAGAGCCAAGGCACCTTGAAGCCTACTATAAGAACACAGTCTTCCAGCATATATTTGCTTTTTCAGAAACTCTAGCATTCTTTTTAAATACTGAAGCAATCCTTAATGAAGAAGAGATTTTGTGAAACAAATTAGGTATTTCAATAGTTGATCTATTTTTGGTGTCCAAAATTTACTAATACAGAAGCTTGACAAGCATGTCTTCACCTTCCCACCACATAAACACATCGACACACACCCAAGCCACAAGAAATCCCAAGAGAGCAGAGAATTTTTAAAAGATTTATCATGAGGACTGCATTTCCATTCACTCTAACTTATGAGACAGGAAATAGGAAATAGGGGCCAACAGTAAATGGGGGCGGCCTCCTGACACTAGCAGAGGACTTTCGCACCCAGGCGAGGACTTCTTGGACTTCTACCAGTCTCCATTTGATTTTCTTCACCTTTATTTCATCTTCATAAGAAAGAGAAAGGCTCAAAAGGAAGCACTTTTAGAAAGCTTCTCTGACCTAGAAGAATCCATCTAAATCCCTGCCTTCCTCTCTGAACCAACAGCTCCTATCTCCGACAGGGGCCATCCTCTATCTTCCATCCAGTGGCTCTTTTTAGGAAGGCTCTGATGCAGAGTGCTTCAAATATGTCCTCAGGCCAGATACTGGTTGCTAGCACAGAGACACACAGCACCCAGCCCTGGGCCCTCCCTCAAAGGACGGCCTCGTGGTGTCAGTCACTTGTAGGCTCACAGACGTTCTGCTGTGGGCACAGGGAGCCTGGCCCGCCAAGCAGCCCCAACTGGATGCGCCCCCTCTCGGTGTTGGGTGGTGGGGGGGGGGGTTGCTGCATTGCTCGCTTATTGAATTTTGCTACTTAGAATGACAGCATTAACTTTGTGTTTTAATTTTTGTTTAAACAATTTTTTTTTTAATTTCCAAAGCTCAGCAGTATACGAGAGGAAAAAAACTGGGAAATTTACCTCGTTTCAGTTAACTTTTGCATTTCTTGCCTAAGTGATTAAAGCCAGTGCTTGGAGCCAAGCCTTCACGCCACGAACACGCCCCACAGCCTTGCCCCTCGCTCTCCTGCTCACACCGACCTCGAACGCCGCGTGCTTGGCCTACCGAGGTAAAAGAACAATTGAATGACAGGTGTAAGAGGAGAAGCTCCCCTTCTTGGTGTGAGGAAAGTCACAAATTAAGATATGTTGCTTTCAGCCGAGATCCCAAATGCTAGTTCTCAGCAGCTGCGTGGCTTACCTTTCACCAGTTCCACCACCACCAGCTGCCAGCACCTCCACAGATCACAGAGATGTGAACAAGCAATGGGAAGCACTCTTAGCCTTGCCATGGTCTTTGTTTTTTAGGAACCAAGATTTCAGCATTCTTTCATACTCAGCACGCTATGTCCTTTGCAGAGCTCATGTTATTGCCAGGGACAGTCATTTGCTGCTGCTGCTGCTGCTGCTTCCCGAACTGGATGCATTAGGAAGCTGCTGTCTGAGTGTAGGAATGTCTTACTAAGAAAGCAGGATCTTCCTTCATCCTTTTCTTTCTTCCTTCTGTGTGTCCTTGTTTTTGTGTAATGCGGGAGAGGGTTAGAGCTATAGAGAATATATAGACACTATCCGTGCACATTACATCTATATATCCCCCATCATGTCAGAGATCTGCATGTCAGTTTTCAGCAACTAAAGGTGCCTCATGTTGAGTTCAGCAGACATAGGAACCAAGCCGCCCCTCCTGCACTTGATGCTCCCACCTTTGTTGTGCCTCACTTAAAATGGTGCTTTTTCAGTTGTCTGTCTTTTCTTATGTTTTTATTTGTAAGGTGCTGTATATAAGTTGAATATATTATGCACATATCCTACCCAATGGGTAGAACAAAAAGTTGTTAATACTGTAATATAATGTATAGATGATATCAATTTTAACAGAAATGGCATAGAATTTGTGAATGCCTATGTGCTTTGTCCTCTTTTGTAAGGAAATTTGCAAATGGATGCATACAGATTAAAGTCTATGTAGTTTATTTTCCTATTAAATATCAATATTATAACACAAGAGAAAGAAGTGTGAACAAGCAACAGTTTATGACCAGCGTATACATAGCAATGGAAAGTTGCATCTTTGCTGTGAAAACACTTTAAAGAAAATACTTTTTAAAAAAAATCCAACAGCTTTTTGGTTGCCACTAGACGCTTCTTATTTAATCATTTTAATAATGCTCAGCTGGACCAGTGTTAGTTATATTTGAGTCAGAAAAATGTTGATTTTTCAACTTGCTTTATAATCTCCTGCATCTGTCTACTGCTGTAGCATCACGAAGGTGTCAGGCCTCAGTGAAAAGTGCACATTTTTGTTGTTAATATTGCAGAAACTGTGTCAGAGGAAAAAGTAAATCAGCCTGCAGCAGAGGACTTCGTTCAGCTCCAGAGGCATCTGTTCCCGTCTGTGTCCAAGTCTCTCTGTGCCTTTTTCTTTTACAAACTGAAGCTGTGGAGCCAATGAAGTAACAGTAGAGATTGTAGGGAAAGAATACCTCAGGAAAAACAAATCCAATTCCAAGGAGGCCCTGTTCTTGGAAAAAGGGTTTAGTTATGGGTTAGCACTAGAAGAGGCTTGGCTGTCAGCCAGCCAAGCGAAGCTCTCATCCATTCCCATTCCTGCCCCATCATAATCCTGACCCAAAAAGCAAGCTTGGTTTTGCCATCAGTTAGAAATTACGTTTTGAATTGTATATTGTTACATCTCTCTTCCAGTTTAGTTTTTAGTGTCTGATTATGACCTTTGCATTATCTTCAAATGCCCTAATTTTTTTAAAAAAAGAACAAAAAAGTTTATAACACCGTGTTCATTAAAACCGTGGTTGAATCTTGGGTGTGGGTATCCTTTTGAGTGTTATCCGTAAGGGCAGTCCATGGAATTTGGCCCATCTGATCCATATCATCAGCTTATTCCGCCACCAGAGGATAGTCCAATAAATTCCAAAGTTTCTATTTGCTCCATGGTATATGTTCTGACTTTGAAAATCACAATGGAATCATACCCCTAACATCCAGGAAACAAATGACCGATTATCCTTAAACTGAAATGGACTGTACAATGCAACTCTTAAGGCTGAATGGATTAAAAGGCAGCCCTTTTAGTATTTGTTTAAAAGGGCCGTGAAAAGTTGACACTCGTATGTGTTGTGGATCCCGCGTGTCTAGACCCATGTGTTGGTTCCATCATGTACTGCACCCCTTGTGATTCCGCATTAAGAACTGAAGCTCGTTACTGTCAAAAACAAAGCTCCCACACCCCAGGTTCAACCCTGTGCAAGAACTGTTGAGCATGAGAATGTTCTAGACTCAGAGGTGCAAAAATTTGTTACCACATCATTGCTTCCTTTCTACAGAAGGAATTGAGGCTTAAACTTTACTGTTAATTATACTGGTTCATTTTAATGTGCTTGTTGGTATGTTGCTATTTTTCATGTTATAGCTTTCAAAAATCACGTTTTCTAATTGTATACTTGTCTAGTTTAAAGCTATTTTAAAATATGTACAATACTATTCACAGCATTTAGTTCATTTAATTTTTATTATACAGCAATCTACTAAAAAGTACAACTGTATTTGAACTTTTCAATAGTTGGTTGTGAGCTATGATACAAGTCATTAAAGTCTTTTTTAACAAACATTTGTGCTTACTTTTCAACATAATTCCCAGGTCTATACAGAAAAAGATTTCCACCTGTCATGTATCTGCCTCTTTTACCCAAGCAATGGTGATGTAGTTCTTAGACCTAAGGTCTGTAATTGCAATACTTTTAAAGAACGATGTTGCTCTAAGTGCTGTTCGTTAGTTATGAAATCAGATTTTTCTGCTTGTTCTTAATGCTGTGGTCAAACCATAGCACAAAATCATTAAAAATAATCAGTGGCATACATTTGTCCCTTGGGTTTCTGTTTTGTTTTTTTCTTTATCTTTCAGCAACAAAGCACATGCATGGGGGGAAATGCCATGTATTTTAAGACCTGTCACAAAGAAATCCTTCTTATGGCTCCCTAGCTAAACTTCCCATTCAGCTGTCGTCACTCTGACTTTTCAAAATCACTACTTCATATTCTACTAGAAGCAATTCTGGTCTGATCATGATTCTTTTCCCAATACTGGGTTCTACACAGGGCATTCAGATGGCTGTCAGGTCCCCTCACACAAGGAGTCCTCAGGGAAACTGCTCACCCCAGGAGGACTTTCTAGATGCCTCAAAGTCTTTGGGTGCCTGTCACACAGAACTGAAATGCTCAGTCCAAAATATGAACAAGATTCCTAACAATGACAGCTATTCAACAGTGGAACTGATGCCCTGAGTGTGTGTTTTAAATTCCTTGGCATTGGAGGTCTCTAGTCATAATGTAACAACAGAAAGGCTCTAAATTTCCTATACCAAGAGACTAGAATAGTATTATCTCTATGCTCTAAATACGTATATGGGTTCACAGATGATGACTATGTGTGCACAAAACCCCACACAACCTACCAAACTACTAAAGTGGATTTAGCATGGTGGCAGCATATACAATTTGTTTTTTGCATTTGTATGTACTTGTGATGAACAAATGGAAACTGAAATTTTGAAAACACCATTCAAAACGATATGGGCCCCAAATTCTAATGGTACACCCATTTTAGATTCTGAATTAAATTCTTGATTATTTTTAAAGGGGGATTCGAAGAGAGCTATAAGAAGGAAGAGAGCAATAAGAAACTTTCTTTCCTGGAAAATGGCAAGTAGTCACTAATAAACCACACCATACTCTGGAATCAATTCTGTCATCTCTTAATTTAGCAGACAATTATAGAAATATTAAAGATAACCCCCAAACTTGCTAACACTAGTGCAAACTTAGTTCTTGGAGACAGCTCTGCACAGAAGGAATGAGGGGAATCCAGGCGTGGGATCCCGTTTTGCAGACCATAAGCAGCAAATCCAGTAAACCTTGGGGCTTTTTCGTCACAACGGAGACACAGGACTCCTCTCTGCCCCACTGTCCCTGTGAGGCTGTACCAGCTGTCACTTTGGAAGCTGTCTCAGAGCCAAGGATGTGAGAGCTGTTAGCCGAGGAAACAGGCAAATGAGAACGGAGAGAAGACAACAAAAGGTGCACGCTGAGCTGGTTCCCTCTACTGGCGAAGGGGCTCAGCCACACGGAGAAACCACGCAGGCTGCGCCTCTGGACAGGAGGCTGGGACACCACCTATCTGCGGAAAACAGTCCCCACGGTTGAGGAGTGCTCTTACGGGATCGTCTTCCCAGACACCCTGGCTGCAGACTGAGCAAGCTCAGATGGCTTCTGCGAAAGACCTGAGACAGAAAAACAAAGGCTTGGAAGTGCTTGGAAGCTACTGGTGCACAAAGGAACCGCCCTCTCTGGCTGGAGTTGAAGTGTGGGAGCCAAGAAGCACCGTGCTCAGATATGTCTGGGACAGCGCGGACCAAGCGACAGAGAGAACGGGCGAGGGTGGAGGGGATGACGGCAGGGAGAGAGGGCAAGTGCACATGTCCAGTGCCCACGCCATTGCTGTCTGAACCCCTCCTTCACAATCCCCCCGGGCATGGGGGAGAGGAATACACCTGGCCGCCCTCTCTCCTATGCCCGGTGTGGGGGGCGGGGGGAACACCACCATGCCCTGGGCCTCGTTAATGCTCAAAGGTGGCGAATTTGGGGAGTTCTCCGTTGTACTTCAGTGCCACCTGACTGTTCCCAAACCCCTCCAATTTCTGAAGTTAAGCAATCCTGGCTTTCTTTCACCCACTTATTTTAGATACTCGTTTTGAAAACAGAACTGTCGACATCTGGGTAGAATCCACCTGGCCTCTCTCTCCCCCATCCCCCGGGGGGACAGTCAGACAGGCATGCTCGAAAGAATCCCTTGGAACCTTCCAGAGGCCCACCCAGCCTGGGCCATGGCATAACAGCCCCTATTCTGCTCTCTGTGATGACGCATGCACGGCATGAGTCTGTTGCTGAGAACATTCGAATTAGATTCCTTCACTACACTGCCCTGTTTTGTTTGAATGGATTCTAATGCAAAGACACATTTTAAAATAGCTTCCAAAAAGTTAAACCTTTGCATCTGTGAAATTTTGTCTTACTGTCATGTTTCTGTCAAGAATCTGGCTTTTGCCTTAATAATGCAAACCTCATTCACCTTACTTTACATTTTCATGTTAAAAATATCAGAAGTGCAAAAGATCAGTTTTTGAACATAGAGTGGTAACTAAAAATACATTTTCAAAAGGACTTAACTTGTAAGCACATACATTTTTGTGTCTTAAAAAAACTGCAGCTGTATACAGCGACTCTTACGTAACTTCCTCGGTTTACAAAAGCATTTTCATTTACAGAGTTGTATTTGTCTCTACTGTTACCAGTCACCTGTAAGCACAAAATGTTCTAGCAACCTACACTAGCACCTAGAGCAAGCCTGTAGACCAACGGGCAGCTCCACACAGGCCCGGGTGCCAGTGCTTCCAGCAGTAGGTGAGGTGCTGTCTTTGGCGTGGGATTCCCAGGTGATCTGGCTCCTTGAATATTTCCTGCTTACAGTTAAAGGACAGCACAGGCTTTGAAGCTCAATAGACCTGGGTGGTCTGAATATTAGCCTCACCTCAAGTTAATTGATGTCCCTGACAGGCTTTCAAATCTCGTCTATAGAACGGCAACAGGCAATCTCACCTACTACTTGCCGGACAGTTGTGAAGATCCAAGAATTCACACGCCATAGAGCCTGAGATTTGGGGCTCCAATTGTGAACAATGGCTGTTAGCGCTCAAACTTTGATGTTCTAATTAAAACATTTTTTGCCCGAATACAACAGATTTGTAAATGCCCTTTGCCTTTGAAATGCCCTCCACATTAAATGACAGGAGCTTAAAGTCCCAGTGAAATAATCCGAGCACTCTCGGAGGCCGAGGCGGGTGGATCACCTGAGGTCATGAGTTCAAGGCCAGCCTGGCTATGATGGTGAAACCTCATGTCTACAAAAATACAAAAATTAGCTAGGCATGATGGCAGGTGCTTGTAATACCAACTACTCGGGAGGCTGAGGCAGGAGAATCACTTGAACTCGGGAGGTGGAGGTTGCAGTGAACTGAGATCATGCAATTGACCTCCAGCCTGGATGACAGAGGTGGCTCTGTCCCAAAAAGAAAGAAAAAAAATCCCAGTGAAATAAACAGGTGCTGATTTTATGCCCTGGAATGAGTACCACAGGGGGTTAGACCACCCCGTGATAAGGTAAAGATCAAGTCACTGGGCCAGAACTTCCTTTCCATGAGTTCAAGACGAGCCTGGCCAACATAGTGAAACCCTGTCTCTACTAAAAATACAAAAATTAGCCAGGCATGGTGGAGGGTGCCTGTAATCCCAGCTACTCAAGAGGCTGAAGCAGGAGAATCGCTTGAACCTGGAAGGCAGAGATTGCAATGAGCTGAGATCATGCCACTGCACTCCAGCCTGGGCAACAAGAGTGAAATGCCGTCTCAAAAAATAAATAAATACACATAAAAATAAATAAATAAATTACATCTGTTTCTTCTACTCCATTACTTTAGCTATACAGTTGTTTTAATGAAGCGCACTGCAGTGGGGGCAGGGTTTATTACAGCCTTTGTAACAAAATGTGAAACCCAGAAGGACTTAGGGACAACATATGGTTCAAAATCTTTTGGCTTCTTGCCTTGCTTTCCCCACACCCTCTCCTTCCCTTCCCACTTTCCTCTGGCCTTCCTTGTCTGAAGGATTCGGGGAGAGCCCACATGGATCTGGGCACTGTAACTCACCATTCTCTCCATTCGCCTAGCTCAGTCCTGAAGCAGCCCTGGATGCACCCAGGCCCTTAGGCAGCCTCTCCTGCTGATGGGCCTTCTCATTCTGCATTCCCTCTGCTGACACTGGCCCACCCACCTCCTTTGGGAATATATGCAAGCACTTAGCCTTGTGTGTTACTGACAATTCCACTCTAAACCCCAGAACACATTCTTCCTGTCTGTCACTCTGACACTTCTTTCACCATCTGCTGGTCTCCCTCTGCGAGGGTTCCAGCCAAGGATAGCTGGAGATGGGAGTAGCAGGGCGCCTCCACCTGCTGGGTCCTCAGCAGCCTGATGGAGGGGCAAGGCACTTGCTGTTTAACCACCATGAGTACCAAAGGCAAATGCCACACAGCAATTCTAAGTCCATCAGGTGCATGAGACACCGAACTCAGCACACAGACACTACGAGGGAACAGCCCGGCTGTGCAGCAGGCACTGCAGTGCAGAGCTGCCCACACAGTGTATGAAGGGCCAGGGGTTTTGTTTGCTTTGCATTTTATTGTGGTAAAAATACTTATAAGAGCTACCATTTTAGTACAATTTTTTTTTTTTTTTTTTTTTTTGAGACGGAGTTTTACTCATGTTATCCAGGCTGGAGTGCAATGGCGCGATCTCGGCTCACCGCAACCTCCGCCTCCTGGGTTCAGGCAATTCTCCTGCCTCAGCCTCCTGAGTAGCTGGGATTACAGGCACGCACCACCATGCCCAGCTAATTTTTTGTATTTTTAGTAGAGACGGGGTTTCACCATGTTGACCAGGATGGTCTTGATCTCTTGACCTCATGATCCACCCGCCTCGGCCTCTCAAAGTGCTGGGATTACAGGCTTGAGCCACCGTGCCCGGCCATTTTAGCACATTTCAACGTGTATAATACAGTAGAGGTTCTAAGGTTGGTAATTTTCATGGAATTCAGAGGCCAACCTCTATATTTTGGTGAAAACTAAAGTTATTAATCTGAACTACTCAGCACTAAAATTTTCCACAAATGCCAGCTTCTGATCACTTCAGATCTTTCAGTGATTGGCAGCAATTAAATGGAAAATTCCAATCTGAGCCGGCCTCAAGTA